GAAATGATACTGAAATCTCTTTTCCAAAGGACTAGTCATTACATCCAAAATCGATGACCTGCAAAAAATCTTTCTAAATTTAGATGTTCGCAGACGTCATTCACATTCAAAGTAAAAAGTTATATCATCCCAAACGAAAGCTAACCTGTCAACGGATAAATCACGGTTGTTTAGAAGGCCAGAACATTTTAGCAGAAGCCCAATTTGCCGAATTTGCTTTTGATAAGTTTTCGGATCAACAGCTTCTTCAAAAGGGTAATGAATTTTAGCGAACAGGTCCCGTAAAGCATTTGAAACACGCTGGTGCGTATCATCAATCAACGCCTTCCTTCTCTCAACAGTCTCTTTTCGATTATCCTGAAAATTTGCATGAAAATTTAGTTTGATTAATCTCGCCTGATTTCATTTTCTCTGTAGGTGTGATATATTTACTCTTTTATGCATACGGCAGTTGCTCATTTTAATATCTGAAAAATATTCATTTCGCCTTTTTCCTGCAGTTACACAAATCTTTTAATGTGATTTTGCATCTTACGCAACTCCAAAAAAGCATTTTATCGAGAAATGTCCGTTTTATATGTTCAGAGATGAGTGAACTTTATCACCCACTTTTAACTCAGCAACTATGAACGCTGGGAGACTGAAACTGTTGGAGCATATTCCCACCCCATGTATCACCTCTCGTTTTAAAATCAACACTCATGCGTGCATAGATCTAACGTTAAATGCAAAAAAAATAAATTTTTTAGCGCGGAGCAATTTTGGGGACCAGTAAACATAGGAAGTTGGAACTGTAAAAGAATATTCTCTGATCATGTGCGAGCTAGAGATTTCAAATTTAGCGCGCTTGCGCCATGCGCACACTCATATCAAAGTTCGCAGTTGGCATCATGCCAATTCGAAAACTAGCCGGAAAACAATAGCTGCAAGTTTGCTGGAATATCTGTCTTTCATTTAGGTTTTTTTTTTTTTTTTTTGAACCAATATAGAGTGGTCTAGCTCTAATGGGTCATTGAATTTAGACAAGAAAACAATGAAAAAAAAAGTGAATGACATGCCAAATTCGTGTCAGTGCTCCGCGTGAGTGTCTGTATATAATTATAAAGAGCGGAGAAGTCTGATGCAGTTATGGCTTTATTAATATTGGCACCTGTAGCGGCCAGCGAGTGCACTGCTTTCAGATGGTTCAGTTCATTTAGCTGCCCCGCAATGAGCTGTAACTCATCGAAAACATCAGGCGCTTTCTGAAATGCATATGTTCAGTTACATATGTCCATACAAAAAGCTCTTAAATATTTAAATTTTGAGATGAAGAGACAATTAAAGTTGATTTTTTTATGACGCTCTTTCCCTTCTTTCTCCCCATTTCCTTCTGTCTTTTCACGTGGACACATCTGCTACTTTACATGGTGGTTAGGGGGCTGCACTGATGATTCCCACCCTTAACCACTCCCTCAGTTGTCTGTGTTTACAGCTAAGGGATGAAACATAGATAAATATTTCTACATATTCTCACTGTTTATAAACCATATTCCCAAAAACTATCTTCCAATCCTCACCATGCACATTAGCATATTCCACATGGGATATTAAACTTGAATCTTCCTATTTCATTCTATCTATTGAGTTGAAAAAGACTTCACAAGCCTTGTGCAGGGATGCCCAGAGACGTTGCTGGTCGGAATGGGAACGCTTCGAAGCATTCACAATATTTGCTCTCAGATCCAACAGTTGCTGTCGCAATTTACGTAGACGTAACAACTGACGCGGTAAATCTTCCCGCATATAACAGAACTGTTCCTGAAAAGTTATCGGATTTTATTGGAAAACTTTGCTGACTAGCGGCGATATTTCTTACTATAAAGTAATATAATGCAAGTTCCATTCAAACTATAACAAGTTCCCTTCAAAGTTATAAGATTTGGATTTGCTTGACGAGTATCCTACTTCTGTATAATAAATTTTACAAATTAACATAATTTTTTTCTTTATTAAGCAAATTCTGATATGTCTGTGAGCCATATCAATTTGCAAATATCGCCTTTAATTGCCCAGCAAATTTGTAAAAATTGCCACAATTTTGGCCTATTTTCTGAACAAAATTTGCGTCGAAAAGTAAGAAGGAAAATGAAGGATGAAGCAGTTCAAAATTTGGAGCATTACCTGAATTTTGCTACAGCCATCATCAAAATCATTGAGAATTGT